CAGACTGGGCAGTCACTTCCTTTGTAAACCCTAAACCCTAGACGCTAAACCCTAAACCCTAGACCCTAAACCCTAGACCCTAAACCCTAAACTCTCGACTCTAAACCCTAAACTCCCGACTCGAAACCCTAAACCCTAATTCAAATCGAACCCCGACCGCAGCATCCCCAGTCACAAGCCCACCTCTAAACCCTAAACCCTAAACCCTAAACCCTAGCCTAGTGTGTGGGGTTGCAGGTGGCTGGAGGCCCTGCAGCAGGAGCATCTTTTCAGGTGTACGTACACCTCAAACCCAACAAACAAACAGCAACGCTGCCTCTTGTAACTGCAACAGAAGGCATTATTCGTGTGGCTGGCTCACTCAACGGCGTAAACCCTAAACCCTAAACCCTAGACCTTAAAAAACCCTAAACCCTAAACCCTGAAACCCTAACCCTGAATTAACCCTAGGCCTTCGTACCCGTGACACCTACTTGCCTTTCTTGAGGGTTTAGGGTTTAGGTTTGGGGGTTCCCGCACGCTGTGAGGGTTTAGGGTTTAGGGTTTAGGGTTTGCTTGCTAGTAGAAGGACTGATGTAACAAGGGTTTATTCGGCTACAGTTTCCGCGCAGTGAGGGTTTGACTGTGCACTGCGTCCCTAGGGTTTAGGGTTTAGGGTTTAGGGTTTAGGGTTTGTTGTTCAGGAGTTGTTTAATTGTTTATCTGCATTTTCTCTTTCGTCTCCCTGGCCTTCAAAAGGTGCGCGGGCATTCGCTCAGCTACGCCTCACCCAAGAAAGCAACCTCAACCCGTAAACCCTAAACCCTAAACCCTAAACCCTAAACCCTAAACCCTAAACCCTGAGCCCAAGAAAGCAAGCTCAACTCGTAAACCCTAAACCCTAAACCCTAAATGTTAAGCCGCCTCGACACGGCAGTGGGCAGTGACACCCTCTTCTGCTCCAAATTAGGGTTTAGCGTTTAAGGGTTTAGGGTTTGAGGGTTTAGGGTTTAGGGTTTGGGGTTTGCAGCGGTCTAGAAGGGACTGCCGACTTGCAAGTAGAGAAGGAAGCACTAATAAATGCAGCAGGTATGTGCCGAGCAAACCCTAAACCCTAAACCCTAAACCCTAAACCCTAGAAGACCCAAGGGACGGGATATCTGATACCGCTTCTACTACTACTACTGCTGCTGCTGCTGCTGTTGCTGCTGCTGCAGGAGCATCTCCGGTGTACGTGCAGCTCCTCTCAGTTGACTGGACGTCGGAGCCCTTTGCAGCACCAGCAGCAGCAGGAGACACTGCAGCAGCAGGAGGAGACACTGCAGCAGCAGCAGGAGACACAGCAGCAGCAGCAGGAGACACTGCAGCAGCCGCAGGAGACACTGCAGCAGCAAAGCAACAACTAGTATCAACTGCAGCAGGAGCAGCAGGAGCAACTGAAGCAGCAGCAGATGTAGCAGCAGCAGCAGCAGCAGCAGCAGCAGCAACAGAAGGGTTTACGCTGCTGCTGCAGCTGTCGGTTCCACCGCAGCAGAAGCTGCAGAGACAGCCGAGCGCCTCCGATGTCTTTCTTGAAATTATCCTCAGAATTATAACCCCAGTTGCTTTCTTATGGTGGGCTGCTGCTGCTGCTGCTGTTGTTGTTGCTGCTGCTGCTGCTGGTGTTGTTGCTGCTGCTGCTGCTGCTGGTGTTGTTGTTGTTGCTGCTGCTGCTGTTGCCGCTGCTGCTTCTGCGCGTATGGCTGTTGCTGCTACTTCTTCTGCTGCTACTGCTGTTGAGGCTAGTTCTTCTGCTGCTATGGATGCTGCTGCTATGGATGCTGCTGCTATTACTGCTGCTGCTATTGCTGCTGTTGCTATTGTTGCTGCTGCTATTGCTGCTGCTGCTATTGCTGCTGCTATTCCTGTGGCTATAGCTAGTAGTCCCGCTAAGCGCGCAAGGAATGCCCTACTGCTGCTGCTGCTGCTGCTGCTGTTGCTCTTGTTGCTGCTGCTGCTGTTGTTGCTGCTGTTGCTGCTGCTCTGTCTGAGCGGAGTGGCTTACTGCTGCTGCTTCTGCTGCTTGCTGCTGCTGCTGCAGGTTGTGCATGCACTGGCTTGTGGGGTTTCTGATTCGCTTTGGTTGGCTCGCTGCCTGCCCGTTGCCTTCGGATCCCCTCCTAAACCCTAAACCCTAAACCATAAACCCTAATCCTGCTTGGCTCTGCCGTGGCGGTTTCATTGGGAGAAGAAACCCTAAACCCTAAACCCTTAACTTAAAAAACTTCAAAATACCCTAAACCCTAAACCCTAAATAAATAAAACCCTCGTTACTTGGGCTGTTGAAGCGCCCCTAGGGTTCAGCGATTGAGAGGCTGCCTTAGGGTTTAGGGTTTAGCTGCTGCTGCTGCTGCTGCTGCAGCAAGAAGGTGTTTGCTTCCCGCAGCAGCTGCTGCATGTCTTCAAAGCCGCACAAAGCCGCCCCTTCTTCCACCCCAACCCATCTGCAGCAGCAGCAGCAGCAGCAGCAGCAGCAGCAGCAGCAGCAGCAGCAGCAGCAGCCAGCAGCAGCAGCAGCAGCAACAACAGCAGCGGCTGCTTAGAAGAGAAGCGGAATTGTTTGTCGGCGCACGAGCCAAGAAAGGGTTTCCTAGGGTTTAGGCTTGCTAGGGTTTAGGGTTTGTTAGGGTTTAGGGTTTGTTAGGGTTTAGGGGTACCTGAAGTCCGTGTGCTCTGCTGAGAGACTAACAGCAGCATTAGGGTTCCGCAAAACCGCTAAAAAGTAGCGGCTTTGCTTAGGCTGTCCGTTGGCCTCATAACGTAGATCCTGCACAAACCCTAAACCCTAAACCCTAAACCCTAAACCCTAAACCCTAAACCCTAGGTGCGCCCTAAAGCCACTCGAGAGGAGGCTGAAGCCCTGGCAAGAAATGCAGCAGCAGCAGCAGCAGCAGCAGCAGCAGCAAAACCCTAAACTCTCAAGAAGGAAAGACAGTGGTGTCTGCTGGGGGGCCGCCAGAGACGAGGGTTTAGGGTTTAGGGTTTAGGGTTTACCCTGTAGAAGGCACTCATAACGTTTAAATCTTTAGGGTTTAAGCCTGACTCTTCTTTCGTCTCTCTGATAGCCGCAGCAAGGAAGTCCTCCCCCTCATCCAAGTGCCCTGCAAACCCTAAACCCTAAACCCTAAACCCTAAGCCCTAGAAGCTACAAGCTAGAAGCAAATGCTACGCATACTCAACGCTGGGTTAGGGTTTAGGGTTTAGGGTTTACTCAGGGGTACGCTTGCCTTTGGGAGGCGACCAGTGATAAGGAGCATACGATGCCTTCAGCAGCAAGAACTCTGGCTTTGCTGCTGCTGCTGCTGCTGTTGCTGCTGCTGCTGTTGCTGCTGCTGCTGAAGTGCTGCAGAGCCGCGCTATAAGGAGACCCCCTGCCCTGACTGTCTCGTCTAACCTGAGCAACGCCAAACCCTAAACCCTAAACCCTAAACCCTCAATATCCTTGTAGCAAACTTGCATTCGCAGTGTGTGCTATGTGTTATAGCTGCTTCAGTGGCTTAGGGTTTATGCTTAGGGTTTAGGGTTTAGGGTTTAGGGTTTAGAGTTTAGAGTACACATTGCCCCTGTGGCCTCAGGGGTAGTCGTGGAGCCCATGTAGAGCAGTGAGATTAATGGTTTAGGGTTTAGGGTTTAGGGTTTAGGGTTTAGGGTTTGGACGGCACACTGGGCCTCCTCACATCGTCGCTGTGCTCTTGCTGCTGTTGTTGCTGCTGCTGCTGCAGTTGCTGTTGCTGCTAAGGAAAGGCAGCAGCAGCTTGTTGTGTCTTTAGGTACCCATTAATGTTTTGCATGTGTCTCAGCAGCAGCAGCAGCAGCAGCAGCAGCAAAACAACGGGGCTGCGGCTGCTGCTGGAAGGCTCGTGCTGCTGCACCCCACATACTCTAGAGCTTTTGCTGCAGCAGCAGCAGCAGCAGCAGCAACAGCAGCACAAAGCGGGGCTTGGAGTTGGTTTTATTTTATATTTTAGCAGATCGTAGCGCGAGACGCTTATTGAGGTGTACATACACTAGAAGATGCCCGCAGCAGCAACAGCAGCAGCAGCAGCAGCAAGAGCTGCTGCTCGTGCAGCAGCAAGCAGCAGCAGCATTTGCAGCAGCAGCAGCAGCAGCAGAATATTTGGTTTTCGTGGTGTTGTGTCTGGGGGTTCATATTTCTTGAATAAGGGTGTGTCTCCGCTGCAGCAGCAGCTGCAGCAGCAGCAGCAGCAGCAGCAGCAGCAGCTGCAGCAGCAGCAGCAGCAGCGGGCTTTCAGCACCGCAGCAGCTTTTGACTCTCTTTCTGCTATTATTCAGAAGGAAATAGCTCATGAGAAGTCGCAATATGAAGAAGACAAACAAATTGCTGAGTTTTTAAGTAAAAACAGCTGGAAGCTTCAGGAAAAAGATAATGATGTTCTCGTTACACTAACTAAAGAAGTCGATGGTAAACCCTAAACCCTAAACCCTAAACCCTTAGAGTCTTGTCCTCGTTACACTAACTAAAGAACTCGATGATAAACCTAAACCCTAAACCCTAAACCCTAGAATGCAAACCCTAGGCTGTTAGAGTGATGTCCTCGCTACACTAACTAAAGAAGTCGATGGTAACCCCAAACCCTAAACCCTAAACCCTAGAATATAAACCCTAAACCCTAAAATGTAGACCCTAGGCTGTTAGAGTGATGCTCTCGTCGCGCTCAGTAAAGAACTTGATAATAATTATAAACCCTAAACCCTAAACCCTTAGAGTGATGATAACAGAAGATGTCGATTGTAATAAACCCTAAACCCTTAATATGTAATCCGAAAACCCTAATCTCTGAAGTGGATTGGGGCGCGTTGAAACCCTTAACTCTAAACCCTAAACCCTAAACCCTCGTTTAGTGTGTAGCTATATATCTGTTGTTTATTATTTGCTGCTGTTGTTCCGATGGTTTAGGGTTTAGGGTTTATAACATGAGGGTTTATAAAATTAGGGTTTAGGGTTTTTATTCAAACCCTCTTTCTTCATTCTCTCTCTCTCTTTCACCCTTCAACCTCCAACCTTCACGCTTCACGCTTCAGGGTTTAGGGTTTAGGGTTTAGGGTTTAGGGTGTATTAGGGTGTATGATCAGGTCGGAAGGTAACAGTAGAGTTCTCATGCATGCAGCCGAGCGGCGGCGAAGAAGAAGAGGGTCTACAGGAGACAGCTGACTTTACTGTCTCCATTGAAAATGCACAGGGCAGCGGTCTACTCTTTTATTGCTCGACATCTTCAGATGAAGATACACCCGGCTCAGCCTTCTGCATTGGACAGGTCGCCTATACACTCAACGCATGCACTGCCTAGCTAGCTAGGCGGCTAGTTATCTGTATATATCTATATATATAAATGTATATATATATGTATATATATATATATATATATTTATATGTATATGTATATTTATTATGTGTATGTATATATTGATGGCTGAGTAGCTATAGCTAGCTATAGATAGATTGCTGTATATATACATTTATATATTTATATATATATTTGTAGTCTGCAGACCTTCGTTTATTTGTTTGTTTGTTTGTCTCTTTGTTATTTTATTTATTTATTTATTTATTTATTATTATTTATTTTTTATATACTATCGCTTATATATA